GCGTTTTTTTTTTTTTTTTTTTTTTTTATCCAGTTACGTGACTGTATGTACATCATGCATTCACTGAAAATTGTGCCGCTGCTTATACTGTTTCTATCCCATTATTTTCTCGGCCAAATATAAGCGGCCCATGCTGAATTACTTCGTGGCCGTGTTCGTCTGAACAACCGCCTGGTGGGATTACGAAACTATTGAGGAACGGTGGAACTCTAAAGTGAAAAGAACATGAAGGTTTGTTAAAAAAAAGTGTGCCAACCAAAATCCATATTCAGACAATAGATAGAAAAAATGTGGCTACACGGAATAAAAAAAATTTAATACTTGAATTGAATGATTTACCTCTAAATTTATGCTCGACTCAGAAATGAAACACGAACATTAGATGTAGGCGTATGATTCCTTGGAATCCAGAATTTACTGTGGACTTGCCTCGAATGAAAGCGAAAATTGTCTGAGTCACTGTGACATCTGTACTGTACTGTTTGACACGAAAAAAGGAAAAGAATAGGCTGGCGGCGCTGAAAATACATGTATAAGTTTTCAGCAACGTGACACTCAGGGAACGCATCTCAAATAATGCGACTAGATGTCAACTGAATAAACAAAGTTTACATATACCAGCGATAAACCATATCGTTTTAGGAAAGTTTACTATATTAAACTTTGCTTTCATTCTACCGCCGTTGCCACCGCAACAGAAAAGCCGGTCACATTGGAAAACGTGTTTACAGTAGTAAACTCGACTTTACTATAGTAAAAAAAGCCCAAGTGTGACCACAGCCAATGTCTAAATCATTTGTGAACTGGGACAGTTTTTTTTGCGTAAATATCTATCTTCGATCAAATGTGACAATTAGGCCAGATTTATACAAGCGATGTAAAAATTTCCTCCGTCTATGTTGAAACCGAACAAACCTCGCGGGTATCCGCTTTGGCGGGTGTACTCCCTGAGAGATTATTGAGTTGTTGTTTTCATTGTTTATTCATCAAGTTCTCAGTTTTAATTATTTTTCGGTAGGATTGTTCTTATTTATTGTTTATTCAGTGGGTCGGCTAACATTAAAGACGAAGAGTGAAGCTAGTCCAATGTAGAGTTTTTGAAGTCTATTTGATATTATGCTTTCGACAGTGCACGTGAATAGCAACTACTTTGGGTGTCCACTTAAGACAAACTGGATTAAGTGTCGAAGATGAAAGATTGCTCAATAACACGAACATTGTTGACAGCTTTAAGATAGGCTCCGGGTCTCTTGATGTAATATAACCCTTGGTTCAAAACAATAGACTTGTCGCCTCGCCCTTCAGAAATATGCGAAGATCGAGACGTTGAACGTCGCAATCCCCCGAAAATCGAGCCTGCGGCTTGTAATGTATAATAATTAGTTAACTAACATTATTATAAGTAACGTCCATTTCCATTCCAAAATAACTCCAAGAAGTAGTTCACAGCAAAATTATTACATAATTTAATAAGAACAATATTACAAATAAAAGTCTTACTTCTGCATAAAATCTCATTAGGGAATCTAAACTGCTGCCTTAATTCATANTCCATTCCAAAATAACTCCAAGAAGTAGTTCACAGCAAAATTATTACATAATTTAATAAGAACAATATTACAAATAAAAGTCTTACTTCTGCATAAAATCTCATTAGGGAATCTAAACTGCTGCCTTAATTCATATTAGCGAGTACCAGTACTTGGTGGATCATCCCCAAAAATTATTGTTAAAGCCTATACAAACTGCTGAGAGGCTATAAAGTGGATTCGACAGAAGCGACCTAACAGTAAATGGGCCGTGGATCTCATCACGAATGTGACGTAGTTGGTTTGGCAGATCAGGGATCATGCAATCGGACGAGGGAAATACTTGCCTGGTTACATAGCGGAGAACCGAGGCATCGACGCGGTGGAAAACAATGCGAAACTGGTAAACCCTATGAAGATAATCTGTGTTTCTTCCAATGCCTAGCACCTTACAACGGTTGCCATACTAAGAACCTAGAGAGAGATACCCAGTATTATTATCAACAGTATCGAGACGCTGGCCTATCCAAACAGAAATTCCATGGAGTCAAGATAAGTGAACTGTACGAACTAGAAAAATTGTTTGAAGTCAATATCCAAGTCTACAGCCTTGCCCCGACTCAGACAAACGGTGAAGACGAAGACAATGAAGAAAATACTCCCGAGATTGCTGCTACCCTGCTTCGCCGCTCTCATCGCCATTTTTCAAGCACGCTTCACTTGAACTTGTACGAAAACCGCTTTTCGTATATTAAAGATCTCGCCCGGTACAGTAAATCCTTTTGCTGTTCTCGCTGCGGCAAGGACTGGAAGAAATCGTCCAGATTGAATAGACACGAAAAGAACTGTGACGGTAAAGTCCAGCTCAAGTACCCAGACGGAGCATATCACGTCCCCAAAACTATCTTTGAAGAATTAGAAGACGAAGGTATTGTCGTACCAGAAGAATGGCGGTACTTCCCTTACCACGCCACCTTTGATTTTGAATGTTAGAATTAAAGAACACTGAAAAGTTAACCTGGCAATCCACCCATGTGCCCTTAAGTGTGAGTGTATGCAGTAACGTGCCTGGTTACCAAGCACCCAGATGTTTCGTGTCAGAGGGAGATTCAGACCTACTTCTTGAAGAGTTTGTGCAGTACCTCACCACGATTACCACCAAAAGTTCATCCCTGCTACGCCAAAAGTACGCACAAGTATTTGAAGCTGTTGAAACCGCAAGAGGCACGAATAACAGTGAATCCCACGAACACCTATTAGCGCAAATACTCGTAGACATCCAGGAAGGAAATGTAGAGTCTGGCGAAGATGAAAATAGTGACAAAGAGAGCGAAGATAACAGCAGAGGGATTGATTTTTGGGCAAGCGATGACGAAGAACATGAAGAAGAGATTGAGGCTGAGAATGAAGAAGATCGTGCATTTATTGACGATGAGCCAAGCGATGAAAACGATCCCTCTTTTTACCGAAGATTGAATGTTGAAGTGGACAGAGAAAGAAGACAGCAACTGAGACAGACGCGGGATCAGCTAGAAGAGTTACAAGATATTTTAGGTGGTTCAGAGGACGTCAGTGACCACAAGTCCTCAGTCAACTAGAGGAGAAACTGAACGCCTATACACAAGAACTGCCAGTGTTGGGTTTCAATTCCGGAAAGTACGACCTGAATGTTTCCAAAGAATTCCTGTTCCCGTACCTCATCAAGCATCAGCCCATCAAGTTTACTGTGAAAAGGAATAATAATCATATGTGTATCAAGACAGACTCTTTAAAGTTTCTGGACATCTCTTATTATCTCGCTCCAGGGTTCAGCTACGATCAGTTCCTGAAAGCGTACGAGTGCGAACAGACCAAGGGATTTTTCCCATACCAGTGGCTAGACTGTTTGGATAAATTAGAAGAAACATCGCTGCCTTCTACTCAAGTCTGAAGAACGCTAACATCACGGGTGAAGAGTACCGACACTGCCAGCAACTATGAGAAGACAATGAAATGTTTACCTTTAAAGATTTCTTGGTTTGGTACAATAATCTGGATGTAGTACCTTTCCTCGAGGCAGTAGAGTAAATGAGTCAATTCTGGCAACAGAGAAAGATTGATATGTTTAAAGATGGGATTTCTGTGCCTGGTCTCACCCTCAAGTACCTCATCTCATACCTCTCACCTCAAACTTACTTCAGTCTCTTCGATGAATCGAACAGCGATCTCTATCACCTCATTAAAGACAACAACACAGGCGGCCCAAGTATAATTTTTCACCGATATCATGAAGCAGGCAAAACAAAGATCAGAGAAGCCGAGGAAGGCGAGGCTGCTAAGCCATGTGAAACGATCGTGGGCTATGACGCGTATGCGCTTTATCTCTGGGCTCTGATGCAGAACATGCCTACGGGAAGTTATACGGGACGCCTAGCAGAGAATGAGTTCAAACCTAAAAGCTCTATCAAGATGGCGATTGAATGGTTAGAATGGGTAACGTCCCAAGACAGAATACATATCAGATATCAGCTGAACAATACAGAGAAGCGCATTGGGGATCGTAAACTTCCCGTCGACGGTTTCAATGTTGAGTCATAAACTGTGTACCAGTTTCAGGGGTGTTATTGGCACGGCCATGACTGCGCTCTCAACCGCTGAAAAGAAATTAGCGAGAAAAGAAACAAACCTATGACGGAACTGCTGGAAGAAACTAGAGCCAACACCGAGTATATTCGAAGCAAAGGCTACCGTGTCTTGGAGATGTGAGAATGTGAATGGCGCCGGATGAAGAGAACCAACCGAGAACTACAGCGATTCATTGCCACCGAAGTAAGAAGAACCTTGGATACCATCAAAATTATGAGCCCGGAGCGAATTTTGAGCGAGGTGCGACAAGACCGTTTGTTTGGGTGCGTGGAAGTGGATATTAGTGTGCCTGAGCATTTGAAAGAGAAATTCAGTGAAATGTGCCCATCTTCAAAAACACCAACATCAGCCGCGATGATACTGGAGACTTCATGAAAGCGTACGCAGAAGAGCATAACATCATGGCTCAGCCTCGGCGAAGCTTGATTGGAAGTATGAAAGGAGAAAAAATCTTGTTGGCCACACCCCTCCTCAAATGGTATTTAGAACACGGCCTGGAAGTCACCAAAGTGCACCAAGTGGTTGAATTAACCCCTGTGCCCTGTTTTAAACCCTTTGGAGACGCTGTGTCCGACGCTAGGAGAGCTGGGGATGCGGATTCTAGGAAGGCCATCATTGCAGATACCATGAAACTGGTAAGTTTGTGTTTCATTTTTTGGGGGTTATAGTGAAGGGAAAAAAGGCACCTTTCATAGGCAATAAACGTATACAATTCCGGCTACGGAAAAACCATCACTAACCAGTTGAACCACAGAAACGTGGAATATTGCAGTGACGCAGAGGCCAGCCGAAAAGGCAACACTCCCCTGTTCCGGAAACTGGATAATATCACAGAAGACAGTTACGAAGTAGAGTCTTGTAAGAAAACTATTAAGTTAAACTTACCTATTCAAATCGTTTTTTTTTTTTGGTGTATCAGTATGCTAAGTAACGCATGCTGCAGTTTTATTATGATTTTTTCGATAAATATTTAGATCGCAGCGATTTTCAAATGTGTGAAATGGATACGGACAATGCGTATATCGCTATTGCTGGGGAGAGTGTGGAAAGTTAAGTCAAACCAGAATTGAAAGCAGAGTTCGAAGCCGATAAATGTAACTGGTTTCCCCGTACGAATACACCCGAGCATAAAGCCTATGATAAGCGAACCCCGGGTCTTTTTAAGGTTGAGTGGGAGGGACAAGGAATTATCGGGTTGTGTTCAAAAACCTACTACTGTTTTGGGGCCAAAGATAAGTTTTCTTGCAAAGGGGTTAACAAGAAATGTAACGAGATTAACAAAGACAAGTATTTACAAGTGTTGCTCACAAAACAGAATAGTTCAGGTGTTAACAGGGGTTTTCGTGTTGTTAACAGCACGATGTACACTTATGAGCAAGTTAGGGATGCATTTTCGTATTTTTACCCGAAACGAAAAGTTTTGGCTGATGGAGTTAGCACCACTCCACTCTAAATTTAAGTTTTCAAGTTCGTAAAATTGATTTTGTAAATAATTTTCGTTTTCTCAAGGTTGTATTTATATATTACTGTCAAAAAACAGTTTTCCGAAATATTTATATAAGATCGCCTCTAGTTGTAAATGGTATTTTTGCGCAGATTTTTGCGGATTTTTGTACATAGGAAATTAGTTTGTAAATAAATCTTTTGGTTGAATTTAATCGTGGTTTGTTTCCTGACTCGACGTGCACGACTAACCCGCGAGATCTCTAAGCGCGCCCAGGGGAAAAAACACAACGCTAAAATGTGGCGTTTTTGGCGCTTTTGGCGTTTTTGGCTGTCGTTTCGTGTTAAATTAAAGATCAATTTTGTGTTACAAACAGTTTTCTCAGTTGGAATCAAACTTTCACAGAGATAACATGGTGCGGAGGAGATGTAAACATTGTCCGATACCAGGTTGCGGGTCAAAATTTTCAGTTCGATTAGCAGATCATTTAACTCGAGTACATGAATTATCGGGGATAGAAAGAAAATATTGGCTACAGTTTTCTAAACTACGAAACACCAATGTGGTTCGTGTTTACGAGAAAGAGGCTGAACGTAAAACAATTTGTCTATAAATAAGAGTGCGCACAATTCAGTTAATCAGTTGTGATCATGGACCCGAGATGGAAACATCCTTTCCCCGCGCTTGTGGCCGGCCCAACATGTTGTGGGAAAAGTAAGTTTGTAAAACGTTTACTTGAATCGGGGGAAGACATGATTGATGGTGCCCCGGAAAATATCATCTGGTGTTATGGGATGTATCAACCAGCCTACGATGAAATGCTTAAAACTATTCCGAACATTACGTTTGTTGAAGGAGTGCCTGGTGATCTGGAAACCCTGATTAATCCCTCTATTCGGAATTTAGTCGTCATTGATGACTCAATGCATGAGCTTAGCAATGATCAGCGAATGACTAATTTGTTTACCAAGGGCTGTCACATCGCAATCTCAGCGTGATCTTTATTCTCCAAAACATGTTTCATCGTGGAAAAGAACTGAGAGATATGAGTTTGAATTCTCATTACTTAGTGGTGTTCAAAAGCCCGCGTGATAGCAGTCAAGTCAATCATTTAGCAAGACAAATGTTTCCCNGATTAGCAGATCATTTAACTCGAGTACATGAATTATCGGGGATAGAAAGAAAATATTGGCTACAGTTTTCTAAACTACGAAACACCAATGTGGTTCGTGTTTACGAGAAAGAGGCTGAACGTAAAACAATTTGTCTATAAATAAGAGTGCGCACAATTCAGTTAATCAGTTGTGATCATGGACCCGAGATGGAAACATCCTTTCCCCGCGCTTGTGGCCGGCCCAACATGTTGTGGGAAAAGTAAGTTTGTAAAACGTTTACTTGAATCGGGGGAAGACATGATTGATGGTGCCCCGGAAAATATCATCTGGTGTTATGGGATGTATCAACCAGCCTACGATGAAATGCTTAAAACTATTCCGAACATTACGTTTGTTGAAGGAGTGCCTGGTGATCTGGAAACCCTGATTAATCCCTCTATTCGGAATTTAGTCGTCATTGATGACTCAATGCATGAGCTTAGCAATGATCAGCGAATGACTAATTTGTTTACCAAGGGCTGTCACATCGCAATCTCAGCGTGATCTTTATTCTCCAAAACATGTTTCATCGTGGAAAAGAACTGAGAGATATGAGTTTGAATTCTCATTACTTAGTGGTGTTCAAAAGCCCGCGTGATAGCAGTCAAGTCAATCATTTAGCAAGACAAATGTTTCCCGGTCATGTCAAATACATGCAACAAGCGTTTGAGGATGCAACAAAAAGGCCCTATGGATATTTATTTTGCGATCTTAAACCGGAAGCACCTACCGACGTCCGGCTGCGTACGAATATTTTTCCCGGGGAGACTCAGTCACTTACGTCAGAAAAGTATAAAAAGCGTGAACCACATCAAATTTCTTCAGTTGAGGATGGCACAGCGACTGAGAAAGAACCACGATTTTCTGAAGCTGCTTCTCAAGTGTACCCCAGCTCAGCGTAAAGCCATTTTGAAGGTGGCAGACGACGCTTTAGTAAGAACCATTTGTGAGTGTGTTTTAAACGTGCTTAAAGGAACAGTGCTTGTCAGTAAGCCAGCCAAGAAAAAACTTTTACCTCACATGAAATCTTTGATCTCTTTAGCCGAAAAAAGTACACCGCTCGATAAGAATGAAAAAGAAATTGTTGGTACAACACGGAGGAATTTTTTTAAGTGTTTTGCTACCTTCCGTTCTCCATGTGTTAAGTTCGATTCTTACCTAAAATGAATCACACAAAGCGTATGGTTCTCGTGCCCGAGAACACCTTGGAAAGATTACAACAACGCCAGCAGATTTTAACCTCACCCGTCACACAAACTCTGAGAAACTTGGATAGTGAAATGACCGATATTTTATCCAGCAAAGAACTTGATGATGAACAAAAAGCTAGGCTTTACAATCAAGTGTTGCAGCGGTACTTGACGTATTACGATCAGGGAAAAGGTCAACCTCTTCATGTGAAAATATCAACTCCCAAAGCAGTAGAAACACCTAAATCCGAAGAGAATGAGCAACCTACGGAAGAACTTGCCCCAGAAAAAGCTATTTCATCCGCTGTAGAGCGGGAAGTCATGAAAAGTGCACCCAAAATTTACACAGCTGGGGCTAGACAATTGTTGAATAAAATAAAAGAGCATCAAGATGTCTTGCATTGGAATGATAAAGGAAAGCTGTTGTATGAAACGAAACCCATTCCAGGTTCTCATCTGGTGGACCTAGTCAACGGCACATTGCGCCACCGCAAAGGATTTGAACCAGTGGGATGGTCGGTGTTTGCGAGGGATCTGGCCCGAATGAATGTCCCGGAAAATCTAGTGCGTAATCCACAGAGGCAAAGTGCTGTTCGAGAATTTAAAGCAAGGGTGAGAGACGAAACCACTAACAGTCCTTCCCGTTGGCTACCTAGCCCACCTGTGACGGTATCCCCCGTAAAAAAACATTGGCGAAGAAACGCGAATCCGCGCCCTGAGGCTGTGCGCTGGTTACGGTTATAAAATCACCTCAAGAGACATTACTATTATTATTATTATTATTATTATTATTATTATTATTATTATTATTATTATTATTATTATTATCATTATTATTATTATTGTAAATCATCTCTTTATTTTGTTCACTCAATAAAAGACGTTGAAAAGAAATTACAAGGTGTTTGTTTATTGAACGTTGTGCTGGGCTTGTGCTCTTTGCTTGTTTACATCAGTGCGATATTTCGGAAGACTTATAGGAAAATGTTTTTCAATAAATCGCTTGACAAGAGTATCATTTTTACGTGTGTTATTAGAAGAACGATGCACAATTGTACTCATACTTATTTGCCGGCCACGATATAAAGCAAAATACAAAAAGTAATGTCCGCAGACTTAGGAATAGGTGCTCTGTAATGTCACAGTATTAAAAATCCACTGGTTAGAATTGTTGTTTAAAAAGGTAGTAAATGTTCCTGAATATTTGCTGGGAGATGCTCCGTAAGAATCGAAAAAGTCTTCCTCTTGCTCCTTGGTGAAATAAAACGCCACCCAATACAAACCTGGCTTGTCACTCGTATCCACATTGGCGATGTATAGGGCTGGGTATTTCGAAACACCTGCTGGCAGCTTGTCAGAGGGATACACGCCTTGAAACACACCTCGTGTAAATTTATCCTTTCTCAAAATAAGGGTCAGTTGAATGGTGTCCAGTTCTAGTTTTTGTAGTCGTAGAGAACGTTTCGGTTTGCGTCAACCTCAATCACGTTTTGAAATTCAGCGTAGACGATAAGGGTAACCGTGTTGGCGGGTGCTTCCGAGAAATGAAGCTCCAAGCGCAGGTTTCCTTGTTTTATAAGCTCAAAATGATCTCCCGGGTAGTGATCTGGGGTCAAATCAAATGCGAATAAGGTGTAACCAGAGCCATAATCACTTCCGTTTATCTGATTGCCCATATCTTGGGAAAGCCTCCCAATGCCAGAGAAAAGACTTTGATAGCCGGCTATCACATTTTGACCACCAGCGGCGTCAAAATTCAGGAACAAAGGCTTTCTGGGAATTTGTTCTCCGTCCACGCACACACCCACTTGAGTTAAGTTGTGGTGTTTGAAGTAGAAGGGGTTCGTACGATATCTCCCATTGTAAGCCTCTGTGTCCACTAATCGCTTGGGAATTTGACCCAAAAAGATGTTGTCAGGGTTAAAACTGCTAAATCCTCTTGGAATAGAGAGTACTTTACAGTCGATTCTGCGAATGGGGTACTTGGCGCTGGAGTGTTTTAGCCCAGCTGCATGGCCTAGAATGATAAAAGAGGCAACCTTGACTCTGCCTACAAACAAGATGGCTTCTGTGTTAACCACTTTGAAATTAGCTCCGGCTGCTGAGGACACAAGACAAAACACATTCTTGGCTCGGTTTAGTTTGATTCTTAAATTAACTCCATTGACCATCAAAAGCTCTTGAAAGAATATATCACTGTGAATGGGTCCCATCAAATCCACCGTATGACTCTCTTTGGTAAATTCATAGCGAACCCTTAATCCAAGGTTTGCTTCATCGTCAGCAGCCAAGGGGTTCATTACATTCATCTTTCCAGCAGTATGTCTGTAAAACATGGCCATAGAAAGTTGACTTGTTTTAGTTTTTTTCGTACTTCAGCAAAGACTCGATCATGGCACGATAGGGGTAAGTATAAGTGGATGCAGATATAAGTCGGTCATTCAAGGAAACGTCTACTTGTGAAAACAGAGAATGTAAAAACAGGTTTACCGGACCCACTTGTGTATCGGCATCTAACGCGGTTCCGTTTGCTTTCTTGATCTTAGCTTTCACATGAAGTTGTGTTCCAGCTAAATCTGAATATTCTTCTCCGGTTTCAGCTACGTTAAATTCAATAGGACCAGTGTCCGTGATGTTGCTGAGAGGGTGATATTCAATCCATTGCCCTTTGTGAATAGAGGTTTGTGTAGCAGGAATAGTAAAAAGGTCGAGCTCTGGTTTAGTACACTCGCGTGACTCGTGATGAACGAAGACCATTCTATTCTTTGTCAAAAAATTCAGTCAAGTTCCCTTTTTTAGGTTTCTTCGCTTGCGGAGAGGTCCCTGCGTTCTTGCCGGGAAGTGAACTGATTTTTTTAGCCTTGCGCTTTCCTTTTTATAGCTTTTTTGCCAGCTCCTGATTGTCCCTGCAATGAATTCTGGGCAGGTAGACCGAGGGCTTGTTTAGCCTGTTTGCTGATTGCCTTCTTAATGTTATCTCCTTCAAGAACATCTAGGGCAACATTGACACCCGTTTGTAAAGCTTTTCTTCCAATCACCTTAGCACCTTGTTGCAGGTGAGGCATCGCCCAGCGGAATAGACCTTTAAATATCTAACCTAAGCCATACCCTCGCTGAAATCGAGCTCCATGAAATGCGGGTAAATTCCCACCTTTTTGTTTGGCTTGATCTACATAGTACTTTTCGTAAAGCTTATGATTTGGGGCGTGGAGTTTTTTCATTTTTTAAAAGTACTGAGGTTGACTCTGACGAAAATGAAGTGTTAACAACAATCTTCCAAACTCAAATGGCACAGATTCCCCTGTGTCTCGCTTTATATTGACTTCGATGGTTTCAATTTGCTTTCTGCTGACAGGTACATATTGAGGGCGCGCAAACGATTTATTGACTCGCTGGCCATCCTCTCCTTCTACGGGAACAATTCGAAACAAAGGGACCAGTGCATCGCCAACATATTGTGACTGAGTAAGATCACAGTAAACGAAAAGATCGTGAAAGCTGTATTCCAAATCCACTTATCTGTCCCCCTTGGGGGTCTTTGAAATAATTTGTTCGGGAGTGAACCCCAGCATATAGGCCATATCATTTAGCGAGACTTCTGCGTTGTTTTTCAAATAAACCGTAACCTTTCTGCTGAGATTATCGTATGAAAACCGTACATCATCTGTATACCGATTTTCAGTGTCCACTAACTCTTTCATCTTTTGAAGGACATCCTCGACGGAAGAATAATGACCCGGAAGTATCTCCAGAGAGTCCCAAACACCGTGGAGTTTTTCATTTCCAACGTAAAATCGAAACTGTTGAATATTATTCCAGCTATGCGGATAATGGATCTCGGTCAAAGCCACTTCCCGTTCGCCTGTGAGGTTTAGGGTTTGTTGTAAACTGAGTCGGTACTCTGTTAATGTGTTATGCGGAAATTTATCAAGACTGCTATTACTAGGTAGATGCAGATAAAACTGCGTTACCTCCATCGTACCCTGTGTTGAAATGAACTTTTTAATCTGGGTATTCTTAATTTATTAGAAACCGCACACCATTCATTTTATTATTTCCTTTTCCTTTATTCACTACACAAAAAACGCATAAATTACAACTTCAAAATATCACTGTCTTGAACCCAGGAATCAAATTTTGGGTCTTCGTATCCTTTACATCTCACAAGATGCTCTGCTACTCCTTTACGCTTTCTCTTCCGCAAAATCTTCTCGACGCGGTACACATCATCGTTCTTAACAATTTTCTGCAATTTAGGCTCATAAAATGTTCCATCTGAGATTTCACCTGCATCTTCTTTTAGTTTATAAACGGGTACTTGACGAGCCATTCGCTTGTAAACAGTAAAAATTTCTTCCGTAAAATTAGGTAAGTAAGATTTTTCAAACATTCTCTTTGCTTTGCTAATGCTGACGCATGTCCCACTTGAAATTTAAATCGCACAGGCTTTTAAACATCATCCCCATACAAAGAATCCCACGCTTGAGCCTCATTCGTTATAGTCACCTGACTCGGTTTCATTTTAATACTTCGGTGGTAGATGTTATTGTAAGAAGATACTAACTGGGGTAGTACATTGATATAGGTGAGAGTGTTTTTGGCCGTAAAATATTTGTACATCTTATTCTTAAATGTTCGGTTAGAACGCTCAACCACTGAGGCTTTGAGCCCAGAGTTAACAGTAAAAAAGTCAATGTTGTCGTCACGCAGAAATTTCTGGAACACACGATTTAGGAACTCCGTTCCCTGATCCGTCTGCAGTTTGATAGGTTTTCGACCAGTAGAAAGGATCTTGTGAAAGGCTTTGACCAGTTCTTGACCTTGTTTTGTCTTGAAAGGTAACACAAAAGCGTATTTGCTGAAGATATCTATATAAGTCAAGAAGTGTTTATAACCCTTGTTGCGGCGACTGAGATTTTGAAGATCGACCAAATCCGCTTGAAATTGGGCATGTATTCCAGGAACGATGACTCGGCTTCTCTTGTAGCGTCTTCGCGCGGGCTTGTGAAAAGTATAAACATCTTGCTGACTCAACCATTCTCGGACTTGTTTACGCGATATCTTGTTCTTTCCTCTCACTTTAACTGCTCTGTAAACAGCATCTAAACCACCGAAACTTAGGGGCTGACTTGGGTCGAGATAAATGCTGGTCAGTGTTTTCTCCATCACAGAACTCTGAATATTGTACGACCACTCTATCCCCACAGCAGGCTAATACGCAACGAATGCCGCTAAAGATGTGTTCAAATCCAAAAGTGGACGAAGGAGGACAGCAACCCATCGTTGATGATCGCTATGAAAGTTCAAGCCAGAATGATTTCTTTCCTCTTGATGTTTACTTATATAGCTACTCTCGAATCTGAGTGAGAGTGGGCACGAGAAAATTAAATGATAGTTCCCATTCCTCCTCGGTTAATTCTAGCTGATCCGCGAAGTTAAGAAATACCACCAGTCGTCCCCAGTTTACTTTTGAAAAGACCTCAGAGTGGAGTTTGTTCAACTTTTCTAGACTCGAACCCGGCAGATCTTTAAATTGTTGTTGAAGCATTTCCATTTCACTTGAAGACACTTTCAATGCTTTGGCTTGTGCGCGATACAGAGAAGCAAAGACAGAGAAAGCCCCATCTTGACTAAGACAGAGACAAACATATACTGACTCACAATTTAGTCATAAACAAATTTTATTACTTCTAGAAACAAAGCTTATTTTGAATGTCATTAATATCAAGTCAAGGTCCATTGGTTGTTCATCTTTCGTCACAACTCTCTCAGGGCATTGAACTTCAACTTGGCTGTCAATTTCCACAGTACTGGGATCTTTGCACTTCAGTCCACAAGATCCGTAGTAAATAGCATACAGAATTCGATCTTCTAACTCACCATAATCCTCGAGTTCCAAGGAAGTGAGATAGTTGTTAGTCCAAGGCAACTTTGATAATTCGGTCACGTACGCTTCCCACGTTTTGCCAAGTTTGAAACCAAGAGCACTGCACACACTTTCAGCCGTTTTTAAGATAACATTGAGGTCAATTTGTTCCACCACTTCATCATGGTAATACATCCATGCGTCATCATTATCCATCATCAGGCAAGAATGTTGGTTTTGACTTGGGTGTTGAATAGCACAACCGTGGCAGCGATTAAGCTTTCGTTCTTGAATGAGTTTCTCAACCGTAGCCGCATAAGTCAGTTGGAACACATGGTCGATAAGGCTAGCTTCCCGTTGACATTGGACTTTTCCACCTCATCTACTGTCAGAAGCGGTGTAGCGCTCGATTCGACTTGCATGTTTGGAGCAATGTTTTAAAAAATATTGGTGAAAGTCGGACTTTTTTCTTAACTTAGCAAAGCGATTGCAAGAATGAAATACTGTAGCGAAAGCGCGCTTTTATGTTAAACACATAATAGATTGTTTACTATCCAATCAGGATTAAAAGAGCCCGGGCAAGTTTGAGCAGGCCTGTTGTTCCTATTGTAGTAGAGTGACGCTCATTAGTAAACCTATACCGAATTAGTATGCAGGAAGTCAAAAAATTAGTATGCAGGAAGACACTTATACATATTAATAAAGGGAATCCACTTTTTGCGAGTGAATCCAAAGGGAATCCACCAACGGGGTTAATTTTGCTGAAGCGTGACTACTCATGATTGTTGTGCACTGCTGGTGTATGAACATATTAAATTTTCTTAAGCTTTCTGTGATAATTCCATTGTTCCGTGCAGGGTTTTGAAACAGGTAGCGAAGTTTCTGATATTCACTTTCAAAATCAATATTCCAAACTTTTTCGAGGGTGTTTGGGGTTCCAACAGTAAACTTGCCAGCCATATCGTTTTTTTTTATGGGTAAACGGAACTGACGTTCTAAGACTCGAACTCGAACAAGACTTCGCATAAAATAGCTTGCACTTAGTGTTCAGGCTGAGGTGAATACGAGAGCCCATCCTTGATACCATGCGATATTGGCTGGTCTATCCACAGGAAAAATCCACACTCTTATGTAGCATGTCAGAAACATTCGATCCTGGCTCCAAGGCTGTTTACTTTTTCTCAATGCTAGCTTGTTAGAACAATCACAGACCAACTGAGCTGCATATTTATTCACATCAGAGTGTGTATGATGCGCGATCCACTCTATGTCCTCTTTCCATTCTGAAGCAGGGGCAGTACACATAACAAAATCCTTGCGCTTTTTCTACAATTCCAACGTTGAGCGGGGATGAAACGGGCAGAACTGACCGGGTAAGGAACTGGCTTTATCTTCGGTCAGCAGAGGTGAAGCGCTCGACTCGACTTGCATGTTTGAAGCGATGTTTTAAAAAATATTGGTGGTAGTAAGACTTTTTTCCCTAGCAAACCGATTGCAAGAGTAATATGCTGAACGGAGAGCCCGCTTTTATTTGGAAGACAGAATAGATTCTACATGAGCAATCAGGGTTAAAAGAGACCGGGCAAGTCTAGGCAAGCCTATTGTTCCTATTGTAGTAGAGTGATGCTTATTAGTAAACCTATCCACTTCATTATATATGGAGGAACGCATTTTTACCCAGCTAGCAAGACACTGGCTAGGCACATAATTAATATGCGGGAAGGCAGTGACTAGGCACATAATTAATATGCAGGAAGACACTGACTAGGCACTTAATTAATATGGAGGAACGCATTTTTTTGTCTGGGATAAAGCAATGGGTGACGTAATAGACTAGGCACTTGCTAGGCACTGACTAGGCACCGACGGGGTTAATTTGGACCCTAATAGACTACTGAAGATTCAACAAACTTTTTAAAAGATGAACGCTTTACGAAGACAGAATATCAGACCTCAGCAAACCTTTGAAAGATGAACGCCGAGGACACAAGAATCACCACATGAGTTAGCGCGTCAAAGTGAGGCAAAACGTTAGCAAGCCCCTCAAAGCGAGGCAAATGTGTGTCGACGACGAAAATGCAATCTCAAAAAAACTTCTCTTATTATTTGCACAAGAAATCCAATAATGCACAGAGCACCCAACACAAATTAAGGGGTTGCGTTCACGTACCTCGAACGCAATTATTGTAACAGTCTTTTTCATGGTATTCTTGCTTATTAGGAAAACTAAATTGGAAGAATTTAGAAGGTAATATGAGCTCGGCTTATGTTCGAAGTGCGTAAATATTGCCGCATATACCATTATTATTATAACATATTACTACCATATTACTACCGTTAATGTTACTTTCCAAATTAAAGCTTAACTGACCCGATAGTATGCTAGTATTTTTCAAGGGTAAATCTTTTTTAGAATTAGGGGACAGGTCTTTTAGTGTTGCAGCGCCGAAATTGTGAAAATAGCTTCCCAATCACACAAGTTACTGTACTGGCAAAAGCACTGTTTGGCCCTGTCCACACAAATCCGGGTAAGCTAAAACCGCATACAAAAAATATCCGGTTTCAATCGTCGAGGCAAATTCGAAAATCAATCCGATTCTGTAAAACAACTCAGGAGAGTGGTTTCGTGGGATCTTTCACGGGTACACCACTCGAGAGCATTGCATAATTTTATTGTGTCATTTATCCCTTGTATGCTACCAATACCCGTATAGGCTAGTATGTTTGTGGTATGTTACTCGTATGTAGTTATAGCGAGCTTAAGCAACGGATAGTTTGACGTTCCGAAGGTCAAAAATAACAACCGAGAGTTGATTCTTCTCTCTTTAAGCGGTCTGCCTCAATAAGTTCATACTACACGAGTACAATATTAGAAGTCTTTAATTCTTTATAAATCAGAAGTCGGAAGTCTTTAAGCCTTTAATCAAGCGAAAAACTAAACTTCCGAGTGTTGTACGTCAGCGGTCTCGTTGCTTAGGCTTGCTAATATCTGCCCGTTTACATCCTTTGCTAACTGTGTATGTGTTACTCGTAGTACTCACGTAGTGTTTAAGTCATGTTCTTTAACAACAAGAAAATAAAAAATTGAACATACAAATATTTCAGCCCAAGGAGACTTGAAAATATGTCAGGTGGAAGCCTTTCAATTTCGTTGTTGGAGAGGAACCTGCAAAAATAAATTGTTTAAATGTATTTTAGACAAGAGTAATTCAATTAACCCCTTTTTTAGCAGAGAGATGCGATAGCCCACAAGTATTACGGCAAAAGTTTTAAGAATACACAAGACAAAAACAAAATTCCACCAACATCAATTTAATTGTCTCCTCAAGTTTACTGTAAGAAACATTTAGTTTTAAAATCAACGCAAAGAAGATATGTTGACAACATGGCAAAAATTTGTTAACATCACGGCAAATATTCAGTAAAAACAGCACGGCAAAAGTTTTGTTATCAGAACGGTAAAAGTTTGTTAACATCACGGCAAAAGTTCTTTAACTTTACGGCAAAAGTTTGTGAACACCACAGAAAAAGTTTAAAACTCATAGCGGAAGTGGTGATCCCTCGCGCCAGTCCCAATACGTTACGGTTTACGCAAAATGGCGGACAGAGATGCACTTGACGAAGAGGATGCGATTCGCGATTTCTTCAGAAAAGGATTGAATTATGATGAAATGCTTGCATTTTTGAATAGATACCATGGTATTGAAATGAGTGTTGTCACGTCAAAACGGCGAATTAAAGAATATGGCCTAAAGAGCGCCGTGGCAAGAGTTGAAAAATCAATTTCTTTCATTTTTTGTTCATAGATAGCTTTTAGGTAGATAAGAAACCTAAAGTAGATTGTTCCTGCCGAAAGCTTTTTATTTGTGAGAAAAATTAGAAGATTGTTTTTCGATGTCGGAGTCTCAGACTGCCCTAATTTTTAACCTGAAATTCGCTAACATTAACTTTCCTCGCGTTCGCAAACGAAGCCGCATGGAGAAATTAGGACTCTTTCCATGAACAGAAAAATTATTTTTCTTCCACTAAAAGATACTTTCAAAACGCACAAAAGTAGATATTTACAGCCTAACGGCTCGTTTTGTTGTACTTCTTGTAGGTTTTCCCGTTGCAAAACTTCTTTTTGCAATCAAAGAGTGGGGTAAAAAGGTAATACTAGGTCAATTTTAGCCATTTTGAAACGCTGAACCCTCTGCGTGACAATCTGTTCCGTGACAGCAGGTGACATAACGTACGTTTGAAGAGAGTAAGCCGTTAAAATGACAGTCACGGAATCACAGTAGTAACGCAACGCAATTCTTGAAAGAGTAACATTTTCGATCCCGACAATATTTTGAAGAAAAAAAGTCAAACGCGCTTTTTCTGGTACTCACTTTTTATCGAAATATATGGACTTTAACAATGGCAATTCGCTAAGGATGACGGAACAGGAAGATATTTCGTCTTCTTACTTTACGATCGAGGAAACTTGGACCCGTTAAATAAGTTATTTTGGTCACGCTTCACTAATTTTACCGGCCTTTGATGCTTTCGTTTGGAGGCCGCCTAAAGGAACCCAATCCAATTCTCAGGTATGCTTTAGAAGAATGTCTAAATGTGTGAATAAACGAGGACCGGGAAAATTTGGGGCTATACCACATGAAGAAAAATTGCCGTAGAAAACAACTACTAAATTAAAGTTTTGTTACCGTAAAAACCTGTTCTTCGTCTCTGAATTATGTTAGTTCAACGAGTCTTAATATTGCTTTGAAAGTATCTTCTAGTGAAAGAAGAAGAGTTGTTCTATTGATGGAAAGTGTCCAAATTTCTCCTTGCGACTTTATTTGCGAACGCGAGGAGAGTTGATGTTAGCAAATTTCCGGTTGAAAATACGGTTATTTTGAGACTCCGGCCACGAAAACTGATATTCTTACTTTTCTCGAAAATAAAAGGCTTAATAATAAATAATAACGGGTGAAAATTTTAACTTTGAGCCGAATGAAATTTCCAGGTTATTAATAAACAATTTGCTTTTGACGTACATGAAAAGCCTCACTTCTAAGGCCGCGCGTGCGACTGTAGTCTAAAGTACAATAAACTACTTTGAGAACTCAGTTACGTTTATTTGTTATTCGGGCTATATGGCTTAGGGTATTTAGACCAGAATAACTGGAAACGGGATATTATTTTAATTACAAGAGAGCCAAATGAACCTAACCAGCCCAGTATCAGTGAACAAT